CGTGGCGACTGGAGTGCGAGTCTGCGTGGCGGACGGTGTGGTGGGCGACATGGCTCTCGCCGCCCTGCTCTCCAAAAAGCCCTTCGGCTGGTACAGATGGACATTGGTGTCTGACCACGCCCCCTGGCTCACTGCGGAGGACCAGCCCGTCGAGTCGGAGAAGTCGCTCAGCCTCGACTGGTAGCCGACGGATGAGGTGAAGCTCCCGGACAGGTCCAGGCTTCGGCCTGCGGCTCTCTTCGCCTCCTTCGCCGCCCTCCTCTTCCTCCTCAGAGCGTTCACCTTCTCCTCCTTGTTCAGCCCCAGCCGCTCCTCCCACCACGCCCGCCATGCCCCCTCGCCCTGCCAGGAGAGGGTCAGGCGGTGGCTGATCTCGTCCTTCCAGGATTCTGTGTCCACCGCGTCCGGCACCGCTACCGCGCCTGGGGCCCGGAAGGGGGCGGACACGGCGCCGTGGACCAGCAGCGAGCGCTCGGACATGCACGCTCTCAGGTCGCGCCTCAGGCTCTGCGCTCGCTCCTCGTCTGCCGGATCTCTCGCCTCGCCGCCCGGTAGGAGCAGGTCTTCGGTTTTGACTGTGAGGTGCTGCGGCCAGCGTGGATGGGGCGTCTTCTTGCGACTCTTCTGCACCAACTTCTGGAGCCAACGTTTCCACGTGACAAGAGCGCCGTCGCTGAGCTCGACTGGTGTTGGCCGCTCAGCGCGACCCGAGCTGCTGGAGCCTCCGGTTTCCTCCACGCTGCCGGGTTCCTCTCCGTCTTTCTCACCCGCGCCCAATCCGCTCACTCGATCCAGCTCTGGATCGTCGTTGACGACGACCTGCAGCCCCAAATGCTTCAGGCGACGACCTCGCCCTCGGGGCTCTGAATCCTCAGAGGAAGAGTCAGAGTGCACGTCCGGTGCTCGCTGCTCCCTCTCTGGTGTTTCAGCCACAAATCTCGGCACAGCCAGGCCCTGGGTCGGTCCGATAACGCCCTCGTCGCTCGACGTGTCCGATATGACCAGCCGAGCATCTGGCGGTCGGAGCCGTTGGGCCGTTTGCCCCCCTGAACCCGTGGCTTCTTTTAGAGGCGGTTGTGGTGGCGGCTCGTCCTCAGCTGCCAGAGGTCTAGAGGCGTCCGGCAGCTCTGGCTCAAGGGTCTGGTAGAAAATGTCCCCCGCCTCCGTCAGCTGTAGGATACAGATGCACTCCTCGCCACCGGACTCTGTTCCTCCTCTCTTCTGGATACAAGTCAGACCTGATGACACAAACAAAGTTCAGCCACAACATATATGATATACAAAAAGTTAAGAATATTATTAGCGTGAGACTGACTATGCAATAGTGTTAGAAATAGCAAGGCTTTTGCAGAAAGGCATGTGTTTGGGGAAGTAGTGAGCATACGACTGGAAAAATCTGACTTGGATTACAAGTTTGAGTTTGTAAATGGATAACCATAAACGGGGTGAGTAGTTGATGTACAAATGGTCATTTTTGTGTGTGAAGTATTCCTTTAAGGATCCTTCTCAAAATGTAGGTTTTTGAAATGAAGATCTTCCTCTATATTTCCTACACACGCACTCAAACAGACTAATTTAGTGGGGAAAAGATAACCCAAGCTATTTTTAAACTTAGTTACAAGGCTGCAGGATCAGTAATCAAGGCTGCTGTTTGTTTTCTTCTTGCGGCGTGACGAATCAGAGGAGGACACGTCAAGACTCAAGTAGCAAATGCGACATCGTTTTCAAAAGGTCCCCGTTTCTGCCCTTCCTCACTACAACTCAACCCAGAGTTCTCAAACTGAAACGGCGTAACTCCGGAGTAGTTTTAAAATGGAAACGTGGTAGTGTGGATGTAGCCTCACACACACACACAACGAAAACTTCATACACATACACGTCTTGCCCTGTCGTCTATCCATACCTGCAGCAGGTGAGGACAACCTCCTGGTAGCGAGGTCCAGGCGGTGAGGGATCTGGACAGGAAGATGTTTCAGACTGTCTCTGGGTCTAAGCAGCGCCTGAGGAGGACCTCGACTGGAAGTGGCCTCCGCTCTGCCTCCTGAACAGACACAGACACAGACACAGACACACACACACAGACACACACACACACACACACACACACACACACACACACACACACACA